CAAAATATCTCATTTCTTCCCTGGTTCTTCCGTGAGCTTTGAGAGAAAGAAACCTTTTCATTCTCCAACTTCAATTTTGTCCCAAAATCTTGTGATTTCACCGATGGTTTTGGAAGATATTTCACACAAGGGATCACTAGGGTGGTTTAAAGCTTTTGATGGATTGGTTTTTGAAGGGAAGCTCTAGGTGGTTAGCTCTCTTGAATTTGAGGTAAGATTGGATATGCAAGTTTCCTTTGGTTCTAATATTGGTTAATTAATGGTTTGTGGTGGTCATGTATGTTATTTTGTGGAGTATTTCATGGGTTTATGGAAATTATGGTGATTTTCTGATTTATTGGGTATTTTTATGATTTTATATGAAGGTCTTGGATTGGATTTGGATTAGTGGTTTAAATGGTGATTAATAGAAGCTCTTGTACGTTATTTGTGGTTGTTGCGGAAAATTTCCGAATGTGAAGTGAATTTCCGGTTTCTAGGGTTTCAAATTAGGGATTTTTCCAAGGTTGGCTTTAAGCTTTTAATTGGCTTTGATTGAAGGAAATTATGGCTTAATTGAATGTATGGTATTGATTACGAACAATATGGGTGACTGTGGTTAATTGTTATGAGAATTGGTATTTGAATGGTAGGTTTGAAATGTGTAAAAGCTAGGGGTTATGCCGTCCAATTCTTGAGAGTATGTGTTTGTTTTGAAATTTGAATTGATTTTACTTCATTTTATGGAAATTCTAGTGATTTGGACATTGGGAGGATTAAGTTCCATATTAGTGACATTTCTAAACTTGGTTTAAGTTAATTCATCCTTGTTTTGGCTTGTACATGATTGGTATAGGCTAGTCTCACGTTAAGTGGGGATTTCTAGCCCATAATTGTGGTTAGTGATGGTTATTTGGAAAGATTGGTTTGGAAGTGTAATTTCAGCTTTTGTTGTATTATTTCTACCCTCATGTGATAAGTGGTAGTTGTCCATAGCATGATAGCTGGATATTGGGATAAATGAAGCTTTGGTATACTAGTTTGGATTACTTAAAAGAATTTTCAGCTAGAGTACATGAATTCCAGCTTAAGGTTAATCTGCCCTGTTTTCGTACTGTACATTTGACCATGTTAAAGACTGATTCGGCCCTTGCTCAAAACATGAAACTTGTAGATATATGAGTTGACTACTTGCCTACAAAATTTCAGATTGATTGGAGTACTGTAGCTTGTGAATTGACCGAAACACCCATGACTGCCCTATAACCCCTGTTTCATGACAGTTTTAATTCTTTCTCTAAAATTTGACTGTTGACCCTGAAAATGTGTAATTTGGCCTTGAAGGTCTTCATAAGAAGTGTTGGTATATGCCTTAGCTTCGTAACGCCATAAGATTTGTGCCAGCCGAATAAGTGTAGCTTCCACTGTGTTTAAAGTGCCAAAAAGTGACAAGAACTGGTTAAGTTTAGATTTCCTTTTATGTGACATGCTATTTGTAATTTAGGGCTTCGACTTGACCAAGGCCATGAGGTACGATGGATGGTTCCTGAGCTGTGTATGGGTGAGTGAACTTTAACTATTTCTCCAAAAGTTCCTCTTGAAATAATTCTTGCATTGCTTACACGATTGCATCTCATTGTGTATGTGTGTGTGCCATAACATTTTGGCTTTAATGAGTTCTTGGGAAAATCTTGTGCTTAGAACCAACCTCTCCACTACTGCGTATGCTTTCTTTGGAGCACGATGGCTCCTTGTTTCTGTTTATTTGATTACTTGATCTAAGGGAGTGTTGGATTTTAAGTACAAGGATTTTCACTGGCTCTAAAGAGCATTATTCGCACATTGGACCGTTAATCCATGATAGCATTGAAATACAATACTGATGAGTTTATTTAATTACTGCTTTTACTGTTCACTCGCTGAGCTTCTAGCTCACCCCAAATATTTTTCTTCTCCCCACAGGAATCGAGACAAAAGGAGAGCTTGTATTACATTATCTGTGTGCCTGGATGGCATGTATCTTGTATAGCTTAGGTTTGGATTTGTTTTGTATAATAGTTGATCTAGGGTGATTGTTTGAATTGGGATGGACGGACATCTCTTGTACACTTTGAGTTTTGATGTAAATTGTTCTAAAGTTTGGGCTTGCCTTGGTATTTGGGTTTGAATTTGGATGTAAATTTGAGTTTTATATTGTAATTGATTTGAAGACTGTAGTGATCGACTGAGTCCTGGCGAGAGCTGGGCAGGCGGCCCGTTGACCCCTCCGGTTCGCCTTAGGGGAAAATGGGGTCGTTACAGTGTGACTAAGCAAATAATGCCTCAGCTTTTGAGCTGCCTAGGCCAATGCACAGCAACTCTTTTCAAGAAATGTATATTTTGCCTCGTAAGGTGTGAACTTCTTGCTAAGATAATAAATGGCTTGCTCCCTTTTCCCAGAATCGTCATGCTGCCCCAAGACACATCCCACAGCTTCATTGAGCACGGATAAGTACATAATCAAAGGCCTGCCTGGCTTAGGTGGCACTAAGACTGGAGGGTGCAACAAGTAGTCCTTAATCTTATCAAACGCCTGCCGGCACTCTTCACTCCAATGCAATGGCACATTCTTCTTTAACAATTTGAACAAGGGCTCACATGTATGGGTCAACTGGGCGATGAATCTCCCAATAAAGTTAATCTTTCTTAAAAAAACTCTTCACGTCCTTTTGCGATTTTGGTACTGGCATTTCACGAATGGCTTTAATCTTTATCGGGTCTATCTCTATACCCTTCTTACTGATAATGAATCCCAATAACTTTTCGGCAGGGGCCCCGAATGCACACTTTGCAGGGTTTAGTTTCAAATCATATCTTCTCAATCTTTCAAATAACCTTTCCAAATCAATCAAATGATCCTCCGCTCTCTTGGATTTGATAATGATGTCGTCCACATAAACCTCCATCTCCTTATGAATCATATCATGGAACAGGGTGGTCATGGTCCTTTGATAAGTGGCTCCGGCATTTTTCAATCCAAATGGCATTACTCGGTAGCAAAATGTTCCCCACGGCGTGATAAAAGCAGTTTTCTCTCTATCTTCCTCGGCCATTAAGATCTGGTGATACCCGGCAAAACAGTCAGCAAATGATTCGATCTCATGTCCTGTGGTATTGTCTAGAAGAATATGGATGTTTGGCAACGGAAAATCATCTTTCGAACTTGCTTTATTAAGATCCCTGTAATTAACACAGACTCGCACTTCTCCACTTTTCTTCGAGACAGGTACGGGATTTGAAAGCCAAATGGGATAATGAGACACCATGATGATTTTAGCATTGAGCTGTTTCTCAATTTGTTTTTTGATTTTGAGACTCATATCTGGCTTAAACTTGTGAGGTTTTTGCTTCACTGGTGGAAAATTTGGATCAGTTGGCAATCGATGGACCACTATGTCTGTTGAAATTCTAGGCATATCATCATAGGACCAGGCAAACACATCTTAAAACATGGTCAAAAAATCAATCATCTCTTTTCTCTGTTTCTTATTCAAATGAATGCTAATTTTTATCTCCTTAACCTCAGTCTCAGTGCCAATATTAACAACTTCTGTTTCTTCTAAGTTCGGTTTGAATTTCTCTTCATATTGTTCAAGATTCTTTAATAAAGAATCAGATTCTTCCTTGTTATCGCTCTTATCTTGAATTTCTGATTCCAAAATTTCAAATTCGTGAGAGATATCGAGATTGCAATCATCAAATTTCAAAATAGTGATATCCAAAGGGTCAATGTGTTTTTTTTTGGCCACCTGAAAAGAATAAAATAGACACAACAATGCATAAGTAAATCAAGTTGGGAAATAAACACTATGCATTTCATTGAATTTCAAAGTGAAGGATAACATCATAACATGCAACTTAACAAGAAATTTAACATAAGACTTGCATTGAAAAACATTTGATTGAAAACTATTTACAAAACTGAAAGCCAAAAGATAAATAATTTCTTTCATGGCAACCAAAGGCAATTCCCCAGATTTACCGAAATTCCCTTCGAGAGAGAAGGAAATCACTGGTCCAATTCTTCATTGCTTCGATAGGCACCTCTAGAAATTCTGGGTCCTCCAATGGCTCCCCCTCAGAGGCGACCCCCACAAATAGGGCTGTCAACGGTCCGGGTCTGGACCCGAACCCGGCCCGGACCCGGACCCGTTACCTCTTAATAATTTACGGGTCGGATACGGAATATACCATTCCGACCCGTATCCGACCCGGACCCGTTTTTAATTAATTAATAATTAAAAATATATACCTATCTCTATCTGTTATTCATTATTAGCACTACGTTACTTTCATTCCCTCTTTTGTTCAACCCTAATTCCCTCTACCCATTTCCGCCGCACTCTCCTCTTTTGCTCCCTATCCATTTCCGTCACCTCCAGACTCCCGAGTCCCACCTCTACCTCCCGACTCCGGCGACGCTTCTAGTTTGCGCTCCATCCCCAGCTCGGCAGCTCCAAAGAAATCGCTGGGTCTGGCCGGCTCCAAAGAAGCAACTCAAGCAAGACCAGCTCTTTCGTGAGACCTTTTCTTTTGCTCTACCACCGCGGCTCCGCCAGTCCGCCGTGGTGCCTGACGGTTGTAGCAAGCCCAGCTTCTAGTTCTACCAAGTAGCAAGTCAACTTTCTCTCTTAGTCAGGTATTTTTTTTTTAAATTTTTTGTGGGGAAAAATTGAGAAGATATGAGAAATGCTATAGAACGAAACCTTCTTACCTCCCCAGACCAAAAAAAAAAAAACATAAAGTCTGAATGGAGTAGGAAATTCCAGGTTGATGATGCCGAAAATTGTGGATATATTTTCCATTAAATTAGTTTTTTTTTTGGGATTGGGTAATAATCGTCCAGTCCAATTATGCTGCCATAAAGTCTGAATGGAGTAGGAAATTCCAGGTTGATGATGCCGAAAATTGTGGATATATTTGCCATTAAATTAGTTTTTTTTTTAAATTAGTTTTTTGCCATTAAATTCCAGGTACTCACAATTAAGTTGCAGATGTGTATGATAAAAGATAAAAATCAGGGAATCTACATCTAGTTGAGCATCTTCAGCTTTTCACCAGCCTCCCCTCAAAATTCATCCTTCCTGTTATTTTTTTTTTCAGAAAAATAGAGCACAAATTGTCTATTTTTTGTTTCTTTAGATTCAGAAGTAAACTTGAACCTCAATATTTCCTTCTTACCAAGTCAAATTGGTGGATTAGCTTAAGTACCATGCAAAATATTTATAGTGGTTCCAATCAACAGAAGGGATGTGGTTTAATGACTGGTTGATGGAGTTGTGCATGCCATTGGCATCAGATGAGGGAGTTCCACAATTTTTTTTTATTTACTATCAATAATGTCGTCATGCATGTGCATATATTTCAGCTCAGCTCTTGTGGAAATTAGACCGAGAGAAAAGTAATGATTTAACACATGGTACTAAAAATGTGTTCCAGCCATAGTTTGATCTCTGTTCTCAAAGGCAAGACTTATTATCAGGCCATGGTTACACAGATAGCAACTGGTTGGATAACTTTAATTGCAAAATGTCACCATCTGAAAAAGCAGTCTAAGGCTCTGGCTCTCCATAAAAAAGTCCAAACGATTTCAATATTTCTGGCATACCTCAAAATTGGAATTTCCTGCAAAGCTTCCTTTATTAGCAGACCTAATTCGAATTGTGAAAGTCTTGAATGGTGCATCTGAAAAGCCTCGTCCCAATGCTTTGACATATGCTTCCTGGAAAATATTTGACCTTCAGAAATAAGTAGGCACAAGCTTATTTGAATTTATTTAGGCAACTGGGAAAAAAAGTACTTATGTGCCCCATAAATCTCCAACTTCAATCAAGTAGCAGCAGGTGGGATATGAATCATTAATATTCAAAAGTTCAAAACTATCTGACCTTGAGAGTCCACAATTTTATAAACTCCTGCTGCTGAAGTTGGGGGTCTGAAATAGCGGACAACACTTGAACTTCATGTTTTGAAAAATATCGTTGAGCAAAGGACATGACATTATGCTTCAGTCTTCGATTCTTCTTTTCCACATCAATACCAATCTGAAGTGGCAAGTGAATTCAAATGAACTTAAACCAAAAATAGAGAGAGAGAGAGACTTTAGGTAATTTCTTTGTGTACTAAATTAGAAAACAGACGCAGAGTGAAGAATATGGAACTTGATTCATTTCTAGCAAGGAAGGCAGGAATTTGATTCATGTCCTCTATTAAAAAAAACTTGTTTGATTAGAAAACTTGTCTTGTTTCCCCTCTTTTAAAACTGTAATTTGGTGTTATCATAATCAATGCAATGGCTTGCTAATGATAAGACTTTGCATTGAGCTTTGCTGCAGCTTATGTGTTATAGTCCTATAAAAACATAATAACAAGGCCAGTTAATACCTTAATGAGCTTTACTCTTCTAATATGGCTGGAATGTTAATAAACTCAAGAATCTAGTGCATGATAAATTCCTGCAGCAGGTTACTTACACTCACCTTTCTCATTTCTGCTTTTGCTGAGACACTAATCTGGAGTCTTACTGCTGACAGTACTTTATTTGAGTCTTAATGTGTCTCTGGATTGTAAATTACTTGAGTCTTACTACTGACAGTACTAATCTGGAGTATTGTATACTGGACAGTACTATCTTATACTCGTGCTTAAAATTTTGCATTCACTGGAGTTTGAATGCGACATTCTAAGGAATTTGTCTTGTACCATGTTTATCTAATAAATTCTGTTATTCACTAATTGCAGGATGTCATCTTTGCCAAGTAATCCAACAGGACCAAGTAGCACAGCTGATGAGAATGAGGTTGCCATTTTGGATTCGGAAGAGGAGGAGGTGAAGGAAGATGATTCAAGTAAGAAACATAGGGAAAAGAAATTAACATCTAAGGTATGGGTTGATATGGATAGAGTTAGGACTGCTACTGGTATTGTTGCCATATGTAAGCATTGTAAAAAAAATGGCCGGGGATAGCTCATGCGGGACAAGTCATTTGAAAAAACACATAGATAATTGCATTGCTAGAAGACATAGGAGTGGGGGGCAGCAAGTACTTCAATTGGCTAAAAATGCTTTGGATGATAAAGTTAAAGTTCAAACTTTCAAGTTTGATCAAGAGAGAAGTAGAATGGATTTGGCTAGAGCTATAATAAAACACAACTATCCTTTTAACATAGTGGAGCATGAGTACTTGGAGATTTTTCTGAATAATTTGGAGCCAAATTTTAAGCTGGTTTCTCGAAATACAGCCAGGGCAGATGTGATTAGTGTTCATAAAGAAGAAAAGGCAAAATTGTATAAGTATTTGGATGATTTTGATGGTAAGATAAGTCTTACTACTGATCTTTGGACATCATATCACCAAAATTTTGCGTATGCCTGTTTGACAGCTCATTATGTCAATGAACATTGGGAATTGAAAAAGAAAATTATTGCTTTTAAATCTGTTCCATATCCTCATGATGGTGAAACATTATTTAGATTTATTTCTGATATCATCTTGGAATGGAACATTGATAAGAAGCTGACCTCTGTTGTTGTTGATAATGCATCTTCAAATGATTCAATGATTAAATGTTTGAAATCATGGCTATTGGATAAGTCATTGCTCAATTTAGGAGGTGATCTTTTTCATGTTCGATGTAGTGCACATATTCTTAATTTGATTGTGCAAGATGGGTTAGCTATTGTTGGAAAATTGCTTCATAAGATTCGGGAGACCTTAAAGTACTTGAAAAGGTCTACTTCATCTTATCAAAAGTTTGAGAATGCAATTAATCAATGCAAGCTGAAAAATAAAAAAAGAGTGGGTATGGATGTTCAAAATAGATGGAATTCTACATTCTTGATGCTTGAGACAGCTTTGCCTTTGAAGGAAGCTTTTTGTCGTTTAGAACAAATGGACAGAAATTACAAGTTGAATCCTTCAGAAAATGATTGGAAAGTGGCTAGTGTTGTTCATGGTTGTTTGAAAAAATTTTATGAAGCTACATGTCATTTTAGTGGTTCTAATTTTCCCACAGCAAATGTTTTCTTTCCCGATATATGTAATCTTCGTCTTAAGATGAGGCAATGGGAAGTTAGTGAGTATGATTTTATTCGAGAAATGGCTATTCCAATGAAAGCAAAATTTGAGAAATATTGGGAAGAATGTTCTTTGGTGCTAGCTATTGCTGTGGTACTTGATCCTAGATTTAAGTTGGCTCTAGTAGAGTATTATTACAATGAGCTTTATGGAGAAGGTGGTGAAAGATATGTGGATAGAGTTCGTAATGCTATTGCTGATTTGTTTGTTGAATATGGAGGTGACCTTGCTCCTTTTTCGAGTTATGTTGATAATATAGGAGAAGGGACTTCTACTTGTGGAAATATAGATGTACAAGATGATGATGATGATAAGTTGTCTGATTTTGACAAATGGTATCAGCAATCATGTTCTTCTACTATTCTTGCTAGCCAAAAATCTGAATTGCAATCATACTTGGACGAGCCTGTATTTCCAAGAAAAGATGATTTTGACATACTAGGTTGGTGGAAGGCAAACAGTCCAAAATTGCCTATTCTTAGCAAGATGGCTCGTGATATTCTTGCAATTCCAGCTACTACTGTAGCATCGGAATCAGCATTTAGCGTTGGCGGAAGGGTAATTGATGAGACTCGTGCTTCTTTGCTTCCTGATGTGGTCGAAGCTTTGATAACAACCGGAGATTGGTTACCTTTGAAAAAGAAAAGAAGTAAGTCCATGTTTATGTTTTTTTTGTTGTTTTTTCTTTTTAAATCCATATTACTCTAGAAAGACTAACTACTTTCTTTCTCTTTGTTTTCTTAGAATTATTTGGAGAAGATTTGGGTGATTCTTCTAAAGTTATCAAGTTAGGGTGATGTATTTGAGTAAGGCCAATTTGATTTTTCTCTTACCTCATTTGTTTTTGTATTAATTAGTAATTAATTTACAAATATATTGTATCCTTGTTTTTGTTGCAGAAAATTGTGAAACTTGAGAGGCATGAAGACTATTGTAATGGATAGAACTTCATTTGTTGGTTGATGTATTTGATATTTATTGTTTGAGTGTAATTTGTTAGATGTCATATTGGCTTTGTTGCTAATATATGACTTTGTTGGATTAGATTCAAGAAGCGGACTCAGTTTCTGAGTCCCCCGCCTTTGACACTAGAAGTTTATTGTTGTCGCGCCCCACTTTTTGATAAAAATAAAATGTTTTGTTTTTGTTGAATTTTATTGATTTGGGAAAAATGAATTTTGTTGATAAAAACAAAAATGGGTCTAAATGGGACTTTTAAAAATGCGACGATTTGACCCAAGAAAAATAGTTCAAAAAGGGTTTTTTATATGAAAAATGGAGTCGCCACTTGGTATAGAGTTAGGGTGTACCAAGTCACCCAAAAAGTGAATTTTTTTAAGTAAAAAGCAAGAAACCCTTTTGAACGACTCCTTAGTCTACGTAAAACAAAGAAAAAGGTTCGGGAGTCACATTTGACGAAGGGGAAGGCAAGGACAAAAATCCAAGGCACCCCTTCGACCTAGCCAAGGCTAGTTGCGTGATTTAACCCTTATTTTCCTAATTTTTCTACCCAAAGTATGTATTGCAAATTTAGACATGACTAATGAATGAGAAATGCAATCCTAAATCTAAGAAATGTCTCTTATGAGGCTTTTGGTCCCATTCACACGAGTCGTGACGGCCAATAAAGAAAACCTCATAGAAAATCGGGAGTGATGCAAATGATGACTCAAATTAAAAGTGTAAGTGTGCGTAGTGTAGGAAAAGTGCAAGTGTGCATTTTGAAAGTGTTTGTGTGCGAATGAATGAAAATATAAGTGCTCGTGTGTAAGTGAATGAAAATAGTAAATATAAGTAAAATGAGTGCAATGTGTGAAAGGACAAAAATAAAGAAAGTGAAGAAGTGTGTGATTATGGCATGTGGATTTAAGATATATATTTAGTGAGAAAAATAAGAGAAAATGATATGAAAATGCATGAACTTAGAGGAATGCATCAGGTCGGGTATGGGAATGACCTCTAATTTTTGTGATTTCAATTTTCCCTTTGATTAGAAGGGAAAACTAGCGTGCTAAGGCTATTTTGAAGCCACACTCGCTCGTTTCCCTTACCCAAGGGGGTTCGCAAGCAAATGGACCCTATAACTAGCATGAAATGGAAAGACCTAAAAATGAGGGAAAAAAGGATTCGAGGAGCATGCCAAATGATAACAAAAACTAAGAAAAAATGCATGAGATGAAATGAACATGCAAAACATGCACTAACGAAAGAGGGACGGCCTATTGGGTCTAGCGTTGGACTAGCCCATAACTAGGAATTCCTACTAGCGTTGGACTAGTGGAATACGAGACCAGGAACCACAACTAGCGTTGGACTAGTGTGGTGACGTGCATTCATTCAATCACATTCATTTATAATTATAGAAAGCGGATAGACATGCAAATCACTTATAAACATGTAGCACGTAACACTTAGCATGCTCAACTAGATGCAATATCCTAATAAAACAGTTAACACGTAGCAACAAAGGTAAATAACCAAACTAATGAACCTATTTACATTCACTAACTAAAACAAAAGGGGAAGGGAAAAATGGACAAAATGCCCTATCTATTACAAGCCAAGAGGTGTACACATACCTCATTAATAAATAAAAGAAATACTTAAAATGAAAGGAATTAAAGCAAATTTAAGAAAGCCAAGTAGACATGTAATTCTCAATTAGCACATTGGATCACATAGGAGAGACAAAAAAGATAAAAGAAATTATACCGTCCCCTTGCTTGTGAAGCTAATGAATGGAAAAGGTTCTAATTTGAGCTAAAACCATTAAACAAAGAATTAATGCACCAATTTAATAGTAAATGTAAAATAAGCCAATAATTACATGGAATGAATATACCATGAAATTGAAGCGCTTAAAACACCCAAAATAGATTAAACAACTTATACTCAAAAGTTTGAAACAAACAAAAACCCAATTAAAACCATTAATCCGTCAATCAAAGCCCATTGAAACGTTCTTGGGAATTTCAAAGCCTATGAGTAATGGAAAGTTCAAG